TTTGGTCATATCGCACAGCCCTATTTAGAAGTGCCCTGTTAAAAAAACAAAGCACTTGGTTGAATTTTGATCATTTTGTCCTCATCTGTGTATCTAGTTACAACTTTTAGTTCTGTTATTTGGTATCTTTTGGATAGGCAGGAGCAGTGTAAAAGCTTTGTGTTCACCTCTGTTCTGTGAGCCAGCTGCCAGCCTGTTTCTGTCTGCTTGTAGAACTCCAGGTAGGGGTCGGACTTTCCAAACAAATCCTGTGTACAAAAATGAATAAAGGGAATGAGGTCAATAATAATTAAAAATGAAAGAACGAATTTAAGGATTGAAGCTGTATCAGCCATACCTTGTTGTCTAGTTTTCTTGCTGCCACTTCAAAATTCACCACCCTATTGTCTTTTATTTCCTCTGCATTGATCTATAACACAATTAAAAATAAATGACTGAGCCAAAAGCAAAACAACACCATCCAACTGTTTATCTGCAGCTTTCTGCATCACTCACTGTGATGGTCCCTTTCCCTGCTGGCGATTTGTTCTTCAGCACAAGCGGTCGGGTCAGTTTCTTACTAGATACAACCTAAAAGCAAGCAAAAAAACAAGCACTTTGACAAAGACAATTAGCCACAGCAAACGAATTTGAATGAATAGGCTCAGAATGAAGACAAGAGAATAAATGAGTAATACACAGCAGCCTGCAGACCATTAAGCAAATGACAAATCAGGCATAATGAACACATGAGGTCACTTTACACTGATAAGAGTCGAACCAGCAACTGCTTATCAGGGATGTTAATGCTTCATCTGCAACATGGTAACACTGTAGTGTCCTCTTACAGCAAAGTATAAGTCCTACCAGTTTTGCACCTGCAAAATCTTGTTTACTTCATTTAACAGTAGTGAATTCTGAAATGTTGAACACTGAAAACCTTCAGCCTTACAGAAAGAGGAAAAGAGAAGGAAACCTTACTTGGCCCAGGGTGCATTCTAGTTCACCCAGGAAGTCATCGTCAGTCAGGTCAATTGTCTTGTTGTCAATGTCATAAACCCCAAACTTCAGCTTTTGCACTATTTCAAAGTAGTAGTCAACGACAAACTTCTTGGAAAACTTTGGGCTGAGACAATTCTGGACTTTCTCTGTGCGACCCACCTGTTAGAAAAGATTGCATCAGTTAGTCAGAGAAAAATTAGTGCTGTGAACTCTTCACAAAGCAGTAGTTTGTATTGAGACACACAGTGAGGAAACAGGAAATCAAAACTATCCCTTCAGGGGGCTTTTAACACTGTTAACAATTAACACTGCACTGTAGCTTTTCTCCTACTACAGTGATATAACCGATTGCACCTAGAGAACATGTGGGCTTTCCAATATCCTGTCTTATCAACTTTCCAGTGTAGGGAGAGACTCATAGGAATCCATCTGTTCCTTTTAAAGTTAGTATGGAATACAGGCTCATGATGGTGGGTTTGACACTCAAATCATTTAGACCTGCTAAACACACTGACCTCATACCACTGAGAATCAGAGCTGTTCATTAACAGGACACACAGGGGGTCTGACTTTGAGCCGACATCTTTGTCCAGGAGGTTGTCACAGGACACAGTCAGCTCCACCTTGGTTACACACTGGGCAGCCATGTCAAACTGGTAATAAACTGGGAAAACAACAACATAGAGGTGTTAAAAAAAAGCACATTGCACTACATAGTACTATAAGCCCTGATTTAACAGTAAGCAGCTGTGGTAATGTTTAGTGAAGATCGTCCTGAAATACTGACATGTTTGCGTTTGTTTACGTAGGTATACAATTGTGACGCTACTGTTAGCCCTCCCAGCCTCCCTCTAAATGAAACCATTCGTGCAGCTAGGCAGTGATGTTGTTCTAACACACAGACTGGTTTGTTTTGGTTTTTGTTTTCGGGAGGATTTTTTTGCTTCGACATTACGTTTAACTATTAGTGGTCTAATGTTACACTATCCCGTTATGACTAAGGTAGCCAATGAATTCACTTACGTACAATGCTTCTCTGCTGCACAGTGTCTTGGAAAATGTGACACAACCATTAATGCAGTGCAGAGGGTGTGGAGCAGAAAAGCTAAAGAGCACGTTAGACTGCTCGTAGGCTCACAGGGCCAATAAATGCTAACAACTGACAACTAACTAGGTTAGCTGGTATACCACGTCAACTTCCGCAAAATTAGTATTAGCTAGTTTAAATTCAGGCTTACCTTTGAAAGTGTGAGACGCGTTATGGGACTCACGGAAAGAAAATATTGGCTAATATAACCGACACTGGTAACACTCCCTTGGCACAGTGCTCCTGTAAGGAAAAGTAGCTCCCGTCCGCTTAATCTCGAAACCACGAAACCACGCCCACCAGTTTAACCGAACAGGGGCGTCACCAGGAATCTGTGTGGGGGTGGCTGGGTGGGGGGCTAAGGGCAAGAGGGGAATATATAACCACATATATAAAACCAGTGTAAACTACTTTAAACTAGAGTAAAGCCAAAAAACAAAACACTGGGTACAGTTTTCAAACTCATATGCAGTATTTTGTCCTGCTAATGATCTATTGTGTGAAAAGTGGAGCTGCACAAGAGTTTAAACATACTTTAGTGTTGGATAATGGTTTTGCAAAATATGAAAAAAAAACAACAACCTCTCACTTTTTACTACAGCAGTGGCGGATCTAGAAAATTTTACATTGGGGGTGGCAAAGGAGGGGCAAGAGATCTCGGCAGGGTAGCACATCTTCAGTGAAGTATGTGAAAATCCCCTATGTGTAAATGGAGTCAACAAAATATCCACAAAAATGCTTTAAAACTATTAATTGCATCATTACCTCTTCTAAGGAAACACAGTTTTGCACAATTTTTTTGCACAATTGCACAAGCAAAATAATTCCAAGAAGACAAACTTGATTGGCACTCTCTGCCATTTGCTTTGTTTCTTTCAAGAAGTCGTATTGTATGGCACATCTCAGTTTGTAAGTCTTGCCATTCAGAGTCATATATGGAGAAATGATCTCACCTATCTATAATGGGAAGGAATATAGAGACTGTAAAGGCATCTTTGCTGTTGACATTTGTTTTCTGTCCAACTGTAGATAAGACTAAGACTATCAGACAGTCTGCTAGATGTTTGTTTTGGTCTTTTTGATTTGGCAATGGTAGAAAGATGGCAACTATTGCATGTTTCAGTGGCTATACGCCACATCTCATCAAAGCTCTCCTCTTTGAGGCAGTCTTCAAACGTCTGTCGGAGGGCTTCTTTAAGATCAGCTGCTTTGGCAGGGTCCACATTTATTTACTGGAGCTTCTCAGACAAAATCTTTGTTTCACGTAGAAATTTTCTGAAGACCATAAGGAGTCCCGTGGAGTCAGTCTGAGAGCGTAATCCTCTTGCATCTACAGCATTTTGTGGATTTTCCTCCAGCACTCTCATTACTGCAGACAACCTGCCAGAAAGGTTTTTATGCGTAGCAAAGCAACAGGACCACCTAGGGTCACTCAGTTTTGGTCATTCTTGTGCTGGCATACCGAACATTTCTTTTTGAATATTAATCTGATTATTGTGATGTGAGCCTGACATGAATGTATACAGTCTTTCCAGCAGTGAAAAAACATGCAGCTTCTGCGACATCTTTCACAGAGTCAGCAATGACACGATTTAAACACTGAGCACTGCAGTGAAGATAAAATGCATACATAAAATGTATATTTGGCAACTTCCTTAAGTCTTATTTGGACACCAGAGCCCCTGCCATTCACCACTACAGCCCCATCATTTGGCCCACCATGTTCTCTTTATATTACATCCCTTACTTCTCCAGACATCAAATGATCTTCTCTCTTAAACTGGAAGCATCCAATTGTTCTGCTCTTTGGTATTCAAGGAAGCTCTCCTGAGTCGCACCATCATAATAATATCTTACAACTAGAGACGACTGCTCAGTTTTTGTTTTTTATCTCCTTTGTCTCATGTGTCAAAATAGAAAAATGTTAACTTTCTTTAACATTCTTGAGGATTTCCTCACTCACCACTTCAGCTAAACATCCCAGAATCTCATTTTAAGTGCTTTTGCTGATGTATTTTGCATTTGTGGGACCTTGTGACGGTCGTCTTTTCACTAATGCATCATGTTTTCTTATTAGATGTAAGATCTTAAGGACATTTCTCTGGTTTTGTGAGGTTTCTGTTTCATCATGGCCATGTTCAGAAATGTTTTGAGTGGCTGTCAAAAGCAAAATTTCAGTCAGTTTTAATATAATTCTGATTTTTAATAACTTACTGTTTGTACCATTTCTACCGCTCACTGAGAAAACTTGATTTTGTTGCTCCGTGAAGTGTTTTGGGTAATATTTTTAAATGTGGCCGCACTACTGCATGTGATTAGTGTATGTACTAAACCATCCGTAACTTTCAGCAGACATTTAATTCATTACAAACTTATTTGTCTTAAACGTTTTGTGTTAAAACATCACCAGGAGAAACTGATTTCACCTGGAGAAAGTTGGGCTGCTCGGTGGCTTCACTCCGCTGCGTTGCAGACCATCGCGTGAGCATTTGATGTTTTTCAGAGACCTAAGATTATATTTACAATTATTTAATTTTGAATTAAAATTTAACTTGTAGGCTATAAGAGGCTTTTGGACAAACAAGCAAGTATTTTAAAAGCATACAATTTGGGGGGCAGCACTCTACAACACGGGTGCAACACAAATGAGCACAATATAGAAATACCTAAATGAAGTAACAGTGGATTAAAGTAGTAAATGTAATTAGTGACATTCCTACTGGTTAAACGCTTGCTCTAATCTCATGTTAATGAAAAATAACAGTACTCAAGCCCAATCGCATTATCACATCATTGAGTCATTTCTGCCTCCAGACTTTTGAAAATGATGCTGCCTTAATATATATCATTGCTCTGTCGAGGTCAGCGTTCTTCCAAGTTTGCAGTCATGGCATTTCATTCTGTCGCAGTATCTAATGATTTATTTTGTAGGTATTACTGGAAAATAAAAGCATACGAGACACACTTCAATATATTTATATTTATTATTGTTACTTTTATTGTATTACCTGCAAAATTATATATAAAGAGAAAATAAAACAGAATAATAAGGAATATAAATAGCATTGAATAAAAAAAGAACACCAAAAATTCATTTTTTTAAAATATAGATTTATACCAAAACTGACAGGGAAGAGATTTTGCTTTAGTTGCACCAGTTGAGTTGAAAAGCTAAGAATTATTTCTTGAACTGGATTACACACAGACACAAAGAACAACATGCAAAACTGGCTGTTGCAGTATTTTTTCACCATGACAAGAATGCAGAAGGATAACTCATGGTATTTTTCCTTCCTTTGTGTTTTATAACAAAGTAAAATACTGACAAAGTTACCGTCCATGACAAGGACAAGTATAGTGCATAAGGCAATGCCACAGTCATCAGTGTAAACAGCTCCAAATATCAACAATGAATTTACACATACACCAAGGTAAATGTTTCGGGGGATTTAATAAATGTTAAAGTACATTTTTTGCTACTTCCTCTTAAGACAAAGTAAAAATCAAAAAGTACACTATGTAAAAAAATGATTTTCTTAATCACTTTGATTCTTTTTGTTTAAGACATGCAAGCACATTTAGTATTTTACATCAAAATCACATAACTGTAGAAAAGTCTATAAAAACAGAACAACAAATGTATTATTTTGAACATCGGGATCAGTACATATGGATTCATTTTGTAAAACTTACTGCATCACACCTGAAATCTGCTGGAAATATTAAATTGAAATGTATTAAACTGAAATGTATATTTTCCATTACAACATGAAATGGTGAAAACCAACAAAGAA